TTTCCCTGCAGCGCTGCCTGTCTCTGTCTGGGGGTCCCTGGAGGACGCCGTCTGCGGAGTCACCTCTCTGACCATCACTCTTAGGTCAGCTCCGCCACTGTCCCGGTGGTTGCCTGGCCCTGGGGGGACGCTCCAGCAGCTGCAAACCGTGGGCAGGTGCGCCCCTCGCCCGGTCCCCTCGGCAGGGTGTCTCCGGGGCTCTCCACCTGGAGACCCAGCGAGACATGAGCTATGCAGCCCTTCAGTGCCAGGGGCGGCAGGGCCTGCTCGGCACGGGCGGGGGTGGGCTGGGGAGATGTCGCAGGGTCACTCCAAGGGACCGAAGGACAGACGGACGCTGGCCTTCCAGCCACGGGTGTCCTATGACATCGCATAAAAATAGCCCCATCAGTTGGGCTTTCGGGGACAGGGAGTGGTGGCTTGGCCACCTGGACACCTGCGAATGCGGTCTCCGGCGCCCTCTGCTGGGCGAGTGGAGCGACAGGGAAGGTTTTGCTGCGAATTCCCGCACTCTCTCTCTCCCTTGCCGTCTACACTTTGTTCCTCTGTCAGCGTCCCCCCGGATTTCTGTGTCCTGCTCTCTGGGTCTCTCTGTCTTAGTCTCTCTCTTTCATGATCTTTGACCCTCCTTGTCTCTGGGTTTCTGTCCTCTCCACTCCCCATCCCCCCATCTCCCCATCCTCTGGTCTTTTCCCTTCTCTCTGGTCTGTCTCTTTTCTTCTCGGTCTCCTCTTTTTTTTTAAAAAAAAACATATATTTTATTGATTTTTTACAGAGAGGAAGGGAGAGGGATAGAGAGAAACATCGATGAGAGAGAAACGTCGGTCAGCTGCCTCCTACACATCCCCTTCTGGGAGTTTGCCCGCAACCAAGGTACATGCCCTTGGCTGGAATCGAACCCGGGACCCTTCAGTCCACACACCCACGCTCTATCCACGGAGCCAAACCGGTTAGGGCTCGGTCTCCTCTTTCCTGTCATTCTCCAGGACCTCAAAGAGACCCCTCTTGGTGGGTCTCAGCTCTCTGTGTGACCTGACCCCCGTCTTCCCTCTGTGGCCCTGTCTCTTCCACTTACACCCACACTGAGCCTGGAGGCAGTGCTCTCCCTTGCTGCTTCCAGACGCTTCTCCCTCCCTCAGCTCCTTTGAAGCTCAAGCTGCCCATGGACACCTCTGCCCAGCTTCCCTGATGAACTCCCCCTTTCCTTCTGGCCCCGCCCACTGTCATGGAAGATTTGGGACTTCATCATTCTTAGAAATGTCAATGTCCTCCTAGATCAGCGGTTCTCAACCTGTGGGTCGCGACCCCTTTGGGGGTTGAATGACCCTTTCACAGGGGCCGCCTAAGACCATCGGAAAACACATATATAATTACATATTGTTTTTGTGATGAATCACTAGGCTTTAATTATGTTCAATTTGTAACAATGAAAATACATCTTGCATATCAGATATTTACATGATGATTCATAACAGTAGCAACATTACAGTTATGAAGTAGCAACGAAAATAATGTTATGGCCGAACCGGTTTGGCTCAGTGGATAGAGCATCGGCCTGCGAACTCAAGGGTCCCAGGTTCGATTCCGGTCGAGGGCATGTACCTTGGTTGCGGGCACATCCCCACTGCGGGGCGTGCAGAAGGCAGCTGATCGATGTTTCTCTTTCATCGATGTTTCTGACTCTCTGTCCCTCTCCCTTCTTCTCTGTAAAAAATCAATAAAATGTATTAAAAAAAAATAATGTTATGGTTGGGGGTCACCACAACATGAGGAACTGTACTAAAGGGTCGCGGCATTAGGAAGGTTGAGATCCTCTGTCCTAGATGATCCTCCTGGAACCTGGCCCTACTGGATTGTCTTTTCCCAAAAGGATCAGATTTCTCGTCCTACAAAGTAGTCCTGAGCCGTGCCACACCCTCACTAGGGGAGTCCATGTCCCTAGCTTTTGGTCATTCGCTCAACAACAGACTGTCTCGTGGGAAGCCATGTGGTTTCCCAGGCTGGGATATAAAAGGCAACTTTCCATCCCACTGTTTCCTCAGAACACTTCTTTTTTTTTCATTTAATATATTTTTTATTGATCTCAGAGAGGATGGGAGAGGGAGAGAGATAGAAGCATCAATGATGAGAGAGAATCATGGATCAGCTGTCTCCTGCACGCCCCCTACTGGGAATTGAGCCCACAACCCAGGCATGTGCCCTTGACCAGAATTGAACCTGGGACCCTTCAGTCCACAGGCTGACCCTCTATCCACTGACCCAAACCGGCCAGGGTGGAACGCTTTTTTTTGTTAATCCTCACCTGAGGATATTTTTCCATTGATTTTTAAGAGAAAGTGGAAGGGAAGGGGGAGGAAGAAAGAGAGAGGTGTGAGAGAGACACATCGATTGGTTGCCTCCCAACTGGGATTGAACATGCCAAGGATTGAACATGCAACTCAGGTATGCGTGCCTTTGACTGTGCCAGCTGTGAGCCTGGCTTCTTGCACACACACAACCATGGAGAAGCTCCTGCATTGAGCGTCTTCCCCCTGGTGGTTAGTGTGCATCATAGCTACAGGTTTTTCGCCATTTGGTCGATTTGCACTTTAGCCTTTTATTATATAGGACTAGAGGCCTGGTGCATGAAATTCGTGAACAGATAGGGTCCCTAGGCCTGGCTAGCGATCAGGGCAGATCAGGTTCCCCGCCTCCCCACCTCTTCCTTCCCTGGCTCCCTCAGTGCCCTGCTACCATGCCACTGTTGGTCGCCCGCCATGGTCCGTGCCGCCCCCTGGTGGTCAGCGCATGTCATAGCGATTGAACTCCGTTCTCCAGGTGGAACTCCGAGGGGACACTTTGCATATTGTCCTTCTATAAATATAAATATCAGGTGCAAGAGTTGATATGTCTTATCACAGGTGATTTCAGTTTGATCACTGGCTTAGAGTAGTATCTGCTGGGTTTCTCCACTGTAAAGTTATTATTTTTTCCCCTTGTAATTAAAGAATGTTAGAGAGAGCCATCTTTTTTTTTGCCCAGTTAAGTTTATCAAGGCTTAATTTACATGCAGTAAAATTTAACCTTTAGAGCGCACACTTCTGTGAGTCTTGGCAAATGTATATAGTCATGTGACTGTATATCAACATAGACAACCGTTTTGTCACCCCCCAAAGTTTCCTCTTTTGTAGTCAATGCCCCTTCCTTCCAGTTCTAGGGAACTACTGCTCTATTTTCTCTCCCTCTGTCCCTGTCGTGTGTTGTGTGTGTTTTTTTCAGAATGTCGAATAAATGAAATCATAAGTATATAGCCCTTGACCTGGCTTCTTTCACTTAGCACAATACATTGAGGATTCACTCCTGTGGTATGCATCGGTAGCTCTTTCCTTTTTTTAAAATTGTGCCGAAACCGGTTTGGCTCAGTGGATAGAGCGTCAGCCTGCGGACTCAAGGGTCCCGGGTTCGATTCCGGTCAAGGGCATGTACCTTGGTTGCGGGCACATCCCCAGTAGGGGGTGTGCAGGAGGCAGCTGGTCGATGTTTCTCTCTCATGGATGTTTCTAACTCTCTATCCCTCTCCCTTCCTCTCTGTAAAAAAATCAATAAAATATATATTTTAAAAAAAAAATTTGTTTTATTGCTTAAAGTATTACAAA